TGAGGAAGTACAGTTTATGTATTTTGAAATAAAGTTTGGTTGATATACATTGAATTAAATTATGATTGTCACTCTATTGAATTACATTAAAGTATTGAAGAGTATTTACTCATCATGATTTGTTTTCTTTACTTTCAAACGAGTGAAGAAAAGGGTTCAACAAAAAACTAAGTAAATAGAGAATAGACAAATATGCTCGACACATTCCAATGTAAATTCACATGTACACGGACGCTAAGTAAACACAAGCCATCAGATCAATACTCGAAAAAGAAACATATTCATAAAGACTGATGATTACAACAAGAAAAAATGACCATGATACAACATATTAAATGTCTTCTTTTTTATATCGATGTGAATTTGAAGAATATTTTTGTGTACACATAATGAATCTCATCATAAATAGGGAAAACAAAGTCTAAAGGTACAACTGTCACGAGGTGACCAAGATCCAACCAATTTTTTCCATCCCGTTGTATCCTTCTCCTTTCTTTTGTTTTTCATTCATCTCTTTCATTTCATAGGGTATTTCCTTTTCCTATATTCTATTTCATGACAAATGGAGTTTTTCCTGATTTTTTTTGCTACCTGGATTTTTCCATTCTCATTTATTATGTTTGTTCACCGTTTCCTATCTGATTTATCAGCATGGATATCCCTATTATCTCTACCCTTGCATATAGAGTGTGATTTCTCAAAAAATGATATTCGATTAGCCATTCATCTTCTTCAATAATCAGAGTTAGTCATATAAAAATTACTCATATTTTCACGACACTAAGGAGAAGTAAAAACGTTTTCGTCAAAAGACTAACTTTCTTTCAAAGACTGGCTATATAATCATTTGTACTGTATTAGCACACTTATTTTTCATTGATATTTTGTTACTCTTTTTGAAAATTCTAGCGCAAATTTTTAATTCAGTAAGGGAAAATTAGATGATGATATTATAAACTAAATCTGATTCTGATTAATAGAATCCATTATCGATAGTTCTACTATCTCGATGGATAAATTTTGTTTTGCATTCATCGTTGAAAAACTCATTTCCAATATTAATTTCGGAGCTTGAATTCCTCATTTCATCTGATAAAGAAAAGGTGTCGATTTCTACAAGTATAGAAGATAATTTCGTTTAAAAGTTAAACTATTCCTGTAATATATATAACGAATGAACCAGAACAAATACGTATTTTCTATTTCTTTAATAACTTCGTCAATTTTGATCCGATCAAATTAAATCTTTTGTTGTTATAATCACCCTTTGGTGATCTAGAAAGCTATGATGTTAACGGTTTTTCTACAGCAAAGTATGACAAAGTGATAGATCAGAAATTGATCATATCGAAAAGTGTTAACTTTCAAAGGCTAAAATCGTTTTTCCAAATTTTCAAACATCCACAATACAATACAAAAGAATTCTAATTCAGATTTTTGTCTGGTGTACGAAAATACTCATTGTTTCGTGAAAAATCATCTATTTTACGAAGTTTTTTTCTGAATTTCAAAGTCAGGAGTCTCTGCTATCGCATAGGTATGTCTTTGAAGCAGTAGTATATGGTGTGTAGTCTCATGCCACAACAAAATATGAATAGTGCCGTTTAGTAGTACTTTGAAGAAAACGTGATTTTTGTAACGGCGGTTATTAATCAAAGAGTATCTTTTTGCAGCGCATCGGAAAGAGCAGACTTCAAAGTACTGAAATATGGATAAATAGTAAAATGAGAGAAATTTTCAGCTGTTCAGAACGCCATATTAAACTCTATCAATGTGCCTTTAAAAGTTGTCACTTTTCGACTTCTTCAGTTTCTGATCTATAACTTTGTCATGTTTCACTCTAGAAAAACCGCTTACATATAATTTTTTAGAGCATCAAACGCCGATTGTAATAAAAGAAACTTTTGGTTCAGTCAGATCAAAACTGACGAACTTATTGAAGAAATACAAAATACTAATTTATTTGTGCCCACCAGTTACATTCTTGGTTTAACATATAAATAACTACAAGATACACAGTTTGCAAAAAATTCACAAAAACAAGAGAGTGGCTCAATCTGCATAGAACCTACTGTGAGTTTTAAGTTATCGGAAGCTATCTCTTAAAATCATTCATTAGTAACAAAATCTTTAGAATAGTGCATAATGTATCATTTCAAAATTATTAGTTGCCAAAATGATCGCCACCATCATGATTGTAGTGTGCACCCCAATTTTAAACAATTCAAATCCGACTTTGAGACCACCTTTGGCAAATTCTCTACCAGTGATTCCATCGATAACATAGTAATTATTTGAAATCCTATTCGTATTTTTCTACCAAATATTCTTACTTCTCGTCATATGATATGATGAAAAATAATACGAAAAATAGTCACAAGGGTTATAATATTGCATGTGTCTCAAATAAGTATTATGTATGATGGTTACTAAGTCATAATATTATTTCGTAGACAAATGTATGTGACAAAAAATACAAAATAAAATGTATTGTGTGTATATTTGCTTGTGTTTATATAGTCAATGAACACATGCAATAAAACATTTCTCTGAATTTTTAAATTCTGTCACTGCTGGATAAAACTGTCGTGTCGTCGTTTCTTATAAGTTAAGTAAAAAGTAACAAGCTTATTTGATTCGAAAAATATGGTAGCTTTCGTGAAGGTTTTATCATAACATTGATTGCTTTGATGAGCGGGTGAACCAGTAGTAATGGGACACATTTGCATTTAATTTTATCATAATTTAAAACCTTGTATTAAAAAAACAAAATATACCACAAAACGCAGTGTGAAAAGCTCTACAATTTATAAAGAATAGCTCATTTTACAGCTGTCCTTTTTGTTTTCAAAATGAACAAAAGTGTGAATGATCAAATTTCGAAGCTGCAAACAGTACTCCCACAGAATTTTACTTGGTTTCAAAACAAAAAATATACAATTAAAATAAGGTTTTCTTTGTAGATTGCAAAGCTTTTCATGCTGCATCTTATGGTGTATTTTGTTTTTTTAATACAACGAAATAAATGATGATAAAATGAAATGCAAAAGTACCTTATTATTTCTGCTTCACCCATTAAAACTTGTTCTTCGGGTTGATTATTATTTACAATGTACTGATGCTATCAACGATGCAATCATCTTAATATCTAAGTAAAACAAAAGCAGATTTATACAAAGTACAATTGGAAAGCTTTTAATTCATAATTCATAACGAGCATTTAATTAGAAAACGAAAAAGTGAGCTAACTATTATAAATATAAGTGCAAAATCTTTTCAATCATTTTATTTTATAGATCTACTCAAAACAAGAGATATTACTTTGTAGTGATTGGAACACAAAACAGTATTGAAAATAAGTAGTTAATTAAGCCTATGATTCTATGATAAACCATAAATTACTCAAGTAGATAAGTTTCATGCGCAGAAATGTCTTTGAAGTTCAGTAACTTCTTGCATAAGACATAAATAGTATTTTGTTCTATAAAATGACACCTATATTCTCGTATCAAACTTCAAACGTTCTCGTATTAATAGTTTTAGATGATCCTCTTCATGGTCACCTTGTCGATATTGCAAAAGAAAAGCGAATGGGATGTATAGCCTTGTGTGGTACTTTCCATCAAATAATCAATTTGATTATATGTATCATTTATTATCTTGTACTATTTCAAATCAATTTAATATCGATTGTGGTAATTATTAGAATAGTGACTCGACAACGAGAGACTATTCGAAAGGAACAAAACTGACAAGAAATATTTGTTTTCGAGCAGTTGCAACAGCACGAAAATCCTCTCATCTATTCGTTGATTTTCGTTTTATTTGCTGCATCTTGTCTAATTAACTGAAATTCGATTTGAAATAGCAACATTTATAGTGGAACGCATTCTATTGATCAATAATGAACTTTCTGTTCGATCACTCAAACATATTTGATAGATAAAGTAAATTTTCTTATTTAGTCTCATCAAAAAGATTCATCTTCATTTCTAACAATGCAATCAACATTATTTCGTTGTAAAATGTCATGAACGAGTTTTTTTGCTTTTATATTTGTCATCCTTAATCTCATTTCTGACTAATCATAAGAGCTTTGTTTCGTTATTTAATAGTCATAATCTCTGATGTTCTTTAATATACCACTAAAAACGCTTTTAAAGATCGATTTCCATGACACAAGTACTTTCTTCTAGCATAGGGTTTGTATATTCTATGACAACAATGAGTTTTTAAAAATAGAGTTGAAAGAAACATTTATCTAAAACTTGAGCACAAAATAAATGTGACCAAATACTCTTTTTATTATGGAACACATTTGAGTACGATAGAAAGGACATATTTCAAGTATTCTTACACGTTATATATTGCCCACGTCAATCAACTTCATGTTTTACAATTGAGTTCATGAAACAATATCGATCGAGATCCATCACATGAAAAGTTATGAAAACGTTCATGTCTTTTAAGATATGTAGAAGATTTTGACAACTGTTCTCTAGATATACTTCGCGAAGTAGTTTTGATACCGGTCTCTGACATATTTGCTATCGATTGCATGATAATGTTCCTTAGATGACCAAAAATTTCTCTTCGTTGATGTTAGTTCAACTGAATGATGAAGTACGATGGATTTTCTAAAATGAGAAGTGTTATCAACTCTTTCAATGTGTAGTTACGATGAATAAAAGATCAATAGAAATTAATTTTTGTCAAAGATAGTTTTTCTTTCAACAAAACAAAATTACATATTTTTCATAATGAAGATTTCATGATTTGAATAGTCTTTTCCAATCTTTAGACATTTCTCTTTTTCTTACAGTATTGTACTGCTGTATAAACAATTTTTCTTACATATGTTCTTATAATTCCCATAGGAGAGTTGTAATTATTTTAGTATCACAAAAAATGTTATTAATAATACTTAGCGTCGAAACTTATATTTTTGTTTTCAAATATTAAAATTTTTTATTACAACAAGTTCATTTGTTCCATCCTGTTCAAGTACTTGTTCTTCCATGTGGTTCAAATGGAAACAAGAAGCTAAGCAATGCTAATCCAGCAAAGGCAGCAGCACATACATAAATAGGCACGCTTGTTGTCAAATCAGCATATGTTCCTATCAAAGCCGCTACAATGTTCATCACTCTGTTACATGCTACTGTTATGGCGGTGCCTGTACCTCGATGGGCTGATGGAAGTACTTCTGGAGTATATGCATATAAAGTGCCATAGTAGATATTCAGACAGACACTGATGATGCAATTGAAAGCTAAACTTTGAGCGGCTGTACGAACTGCCGTGAATGCAAAAAGAAAAGTCATTGTGAGAAGGGCTCCAATTACCATAGTGTATCGACGACCGAGAAAGCGAACTTCTACCAAACCACCAGCTATCATTGGACCAAAAACACTACAAACGTTGATAATGGCATAATCACGATAAGTTGTGTATACAGAACCATCACCCATGTTAGCTCCTCGAGATTGTAAGTAGTAAGGCAAAAAGACGGTATAAAGTGGATAAGCAAGACCAATCAGAGTCCATGAAGCAATATTAAGAAAAGTTGAATAACCCATCTTTCGATTTGGAAAGAGACCTATGAAAATTAAACGATATTAAATAAAGTTTTGTCAAAAACTCATGGTAAGCCTTGGAGTGTTTAAAATCTATATAGCATTTTAACTAATGGAGAATTTTTCTACATAAAATGGTCAAATTACTAGTTCCTGGTAGTCACTTAAAATAAGAGAGAACCACGATTGGAATTTGTTATTTACCTTTGATATGATTCAAAACAATCATTGGATTATACTTCTTTAAATTATTGGATTGAACAATTGGTCCAATCGATTCAAGTTGTTCAAGTGTAAGTGGACATTCTTTACCCGCTGCTAGTGCAATTTCTTGAATGATTTTCACTACTTCTGCATCTCGATTTTGCGAGAGAAGCCATTTGGGAGACTCTTTCAACCGAATGATAAACACTCGAAGAAGTGATAGAACAAAAACAAATGATCCAAGAGTATAAAATGTATAGCGCCATCCAGAATTGTTCGCATCCGTACAAATATCATCTTTCGTACAAGAATATTTAGCTAGAAAAGGCCAGGCTACTAAACCAGCTACCATATGTCCAACACCCCACCAAGCAGCCATAAATGTGAGAGACCATTGATATTTACCAGGCAAAAATTCTAAGTAAACAGCTGTATCGAGGATGAGATTTCCACCACCTCCAAAAGCCATAAGTCCAATGAACACACAGACAGCAGCGTAGTTAGGTGATGCTCCAGCTACAATACCAAAGATTGCACACCAGAACAATGTAATATTGAAAGCATATTTACGACCGATAATCTGAAATTTGAAAAAATAAAATACGTTATACTGTAGCTGAGCACAAACACATTAGACCATAGATGAATATGTATATATTAGAAATATTACAGTAGCACCCATATGATTCTATTTTCTTTATTGAAATTACTAGTAGAAGAGTTTAAGCTGAAGTTAACAAATTTTTAATAGGTATTTTTGATGTTGATAGAAACATTCACAAATTATTTCTTCTCAAATTCTAACTTTTTATGGCACTATTTAAACTAGATATATTTCAAGAAATATTTATACAAACAAACTTACATCAGCTCCTGCACCCCAGAACAGTGCTCCAATTAATAGACCAACTCCAACAGACATCGTTTGTGCTTTGCTAACAATCGGTTTATATTGTAGAGCGACTTGAGGTTGTGTCAAGGCATTAAGAAGAATAAGCAACGAATCAACTGCATACCCAAAACCATTAAGAAAGAAGAGTTTCAATTGATATGAAGTAAAGCCAATTTTATTAATAGCATTGTTCACATGCATTATTTTTAGAGCAAGAGTTTCGTCTTCCTGAATATCGAAGCTGAAATCATGATTATCCTTCTCGGACTCATTGTATGCGGATGGATTAGCTACAACAATAACAGGAGTTCCAGGCTGTGCTGGGTCAACTTTATTCGTCATTTCCATATCTAATAGAAAAAAAACACATAAGATACCTAATATTTACGAATCTACTGTAAGAATAAGCACATAAAAGCAGACAAACAACTACCGATCATTTTAGTCTGCATGTCATTTTATTAGAAAGTGACATTAGGAAAAAACAATGAGTTAAACGTCTCCTACATCTTTTTTGCTCAATTTTCTCATACAGATAGCATTTAATCGAGTTAAAAAGAAATACATGTGAAGAAATGAGCGAAGCTCACATGTTGTATTCGATTGGGTCTTTTTATCTAGAAAAAAATAATCTAAACTTCGATCACCAATGATAGATGGCGTATTTCGAAAAATAATCATGAAAGATCAACTCTATAATGCTAATGCAATAGTATATATAATTCAGACTAAACAAATTTCACATCTATTTCTGTTTAAATTTGTAGCTTTTCGAATAATAAAGTAGTAACTGATGGAGAACAAAATACAAAATGTATTTTATTTCATTTAGATTTGTAAATAGTTAATTCGTTAGTGAAAACAGAGTTTCCTAAATCGTTTAAAACACAGCTGACAACCAATCAAGATCTGGTGGTTTGTTCTCTACAACTATTTGTTTTTTTCTATTCAATATCGACAAAACAAACGAAAGAGGATAATCAAAGCATGCTGGATAGCATTTGCTGATGAAGAAAGCTGTCGAAGTTTTGTGAAAAATGTCTCTCAACGACTCTCTCAGACATCTCCTAAGGAGAGCGACATCGAATTCAATTGGTTCTTGTAGCGTATAACAGTGCTAGACGCTGCGAGAGATATATGTGGAATCAAACGTGTTGAACTGAAAAATGACTATAAGAAGACTGAATGGTCGGTCGAAAAAACTTCGTATGGCTACTGATGAAAAAAAAGCTGTGTATCGTATATGGATCCCACTGAAAACAGTGAAGAATTGATGAATGAAGCAAAAGCAACCTTATGGGACGATTGGAAACCCCATCTGGAATCTAACTCTGCTTAGCCTAGCCGGACAAGTCTATGTCAGGGTGGTAGAATGAATATGGCAAGAGATGGTATAATTGCGTATTCAAGATATGCACTATTGATTTCAAAAGAAGCAGAGGAGAAAGGAGCAAATTGTCACATTATACCGAGTATTTTAAAAGTCCCAAGGCATTCGTCAAGTTCATTGATACATTATTGATAAATTTCGAGATGTGCCATCAAATTGCACGGAACTTGCGATGGAAAGTGTAAATTGAATATGCGATTCTTCGTCGTCTCTTATCAGCAATTCAATATTTGTGCAAATATCGCATAGACTGTATTTACATAAATGGTAGCCAGCCGGAACGGTTCCTGATGCACGTCATATTACGACCAAGATACTTATTAGTGCCACTATTATAAATAATATCTTTGCAGACGACATCACTCGTCTGGCAGCAATGACTAACGGGCTTCAGAACACTCGTGATTGTTTTGTAAAGGAGTGTTCCTCTTCGAGTATGAAGATTAATATGAAGAAAACTGAAGAAATGGTTCTATGAAGACCTTCTGAGTGGTGTAGTCTTTGTACAAAAGGGGTTCCAACAAATTACATCAACAAGTTAAGAGATCTAAAGTTATAATTCTCTGGTGATGGAAAATAAAATGATGAAATTCATCGATAAATTGGAGCGATCAGTAGCGTTTTATGTTTTCTCTACCATACAGCTGTGACAATGGAAAAGTTCAGCTGTAAACCTTCATTCAAGCTACCATATTTTTCGAATTAAATAAAATTGATGGTTTTTGCATAAGTAATAATAAAAGGGAAGAGAGTAGTCCTATTCAGCAGTGATAGAATTCTCAAATTTTGTGGAATACCATTCAATTACTGTAGTACGATTACGTTTGTATCAATAGAGTTTAGCCATAATTCTTCTAATAGTTATGAAAATAATCTTTTTCTTACAACTGTATCCATCCTGATCGATTTCTCAAACGTATTCGATGCAGTTAAGACGTAGACTAGTAAATACAATTATTTACATCTCTCAATCTCTTGAAATCGAATAAAATAGACAACATTGAACTATCTCAGTTGTCATTAATTCTTAAAGCAATCTAGTTTTATTATCATGTGGTACTGAAATGTATGCGTATGTACAACTATTGATCTGCGTTTGGTGCTCTTCGTAACTATCACTATTTTCATGTAATTTGAACTTCGTTATCGAAAAATGACTCACCTTTATGCAATGTATACAAAACAGAAAATATAATTGTGATGATTTTTATCTTTTCTTGATGCGAGGCAATAAAAAATATATGAAACTAAATTTCGATATGGTTGACTTCTACCTGTTTTTGTATATATAAATATATCAATTATTCACCACTCACTTAGTTAATGTAATATCCTACAACACAAGAGAGTAAGGACTGATGAAAACAGCTCCCTTGAAAAATATGACTTCTTTCATGTCAAACTCTCATTCCAGGTGTCTGAAAGAAAGTCTTGATAGAATTAGTCATATAGCACTTGTTTTTACTTTAGAGTGGTCGATTGAAATAGTAAATGATCGTCGTATGTATATTGAACCCGACTGTTGACGATAATAAGCACCTTTTATCTACCAATTTCGTGAGTGACTACGCTTTTTCTGTATATCATAGGCTACGTTGCCCTGATAAGCATCTAATGCAAGATTTGCAAACTGACAACTTTTGTCAGCATCAACCAATCTGATTATCAAGCAGAATACTTTTCATATGATTCAAAATGGTATAAAAATGTCGATTAAAAGGAATTGACCAGACAAAGGAATTTCAAGAAGACTACTGTCGTGACATGTTTTTATGAGTTTCTGCTTGATACTTAATCAATTTTGATTACAACAACAATATTTGAATAAAAACTAATACAATATGCTGAATTAACATCCAAAATTGAGTGGACTTACGTATATTTCAAGAATTTGTACAACTTTTTTTCTTCTTAAATTTAATCCCTGGTCTCCCTTCAGAATTCAGTCAAAAATGAATTTCATAGAAAAGTTACTTTGATGGTAGGAATCAAGTTCGAAGGCTATAAAACAACAGTAAAACTTCAAAGCAGATGAATAAACAACAAAACAGAGTTTTCATGAACTCATTTTTTGACCGAATCCTGCAGGTGTTAGGGATAAAGTTTTTGAGGAGAAAAAGTTGTGAAAACTCTTGAAATACACATAAGCACAGTCAATTTCGATGTAAAGTCAGAATATTATATTAGTTTTTGTCAAAATTGTATTTCTCTAATCGAAACCGACTAAATATACGGCGAAAAAAATAATTGAGCTATGTCACGAGAATAATCTCTTTGAAATTTCTTTGCATGACCAATGTTTTTTCTTCGATTTTTTTATATCATTTTGAAATAACCAAACTTACTATCGAACCATATGAGACGCCGCTTGGTTGATGATAAAATTGGTTTACGTTGGCACGAGTTCTCGATCGGCAGCATCGATACTAAAGACATACCACAGCTACGTGGTCTCTGAGAAGTCATATCAGGCAGGATTTTTTCCATGATATTTTTATAGAATTTTGAAGCCATTGAAATACGCAATGAAGACACATGATTACTGGTATGGTCGATCTTCGGATCGAGAGATAAAGAGTACTGATCATGTTCGACATCCATTGACTACCTCAATCAGTCGAGACACAGCACGAACAAGTACTGTCGGTCTAATTCTACTAGGAATCACTTTCACACAACTAGAGTGAGAGTTTGACATGACGGAAACCATATTTTTGCAGGGTGCCAATTTCATCAGTTATCGAACATTCTTCTTTACAACTTTGAATAAAACAACGCTTCGAAATCAAACTTTTTCCAGCAGTGTCACATATACAAAAAATCGGGGATGCTGGAGAAGTGTAGGGAGATGCCACATCTCCCATAGATAGCGCGTCTCCTGGAGAGATGTCGTATCTTCAAGCACTGCTTCCCAGGAGATGCGGCATCTCCCGTATTGACATCTCCCAGCACCTCCCAATGAAATTTTTCTTGTATTTTTAGCCTAGGATCCAGACGAGAGATGCCTCATCTCTACGCATATCTCTCCAACGACGATAAAGTAGGAAGCACGAACACACACAGCCACATCCATAATGTAATTCTCTGTTAATAGATAGTTTGACATCTCCCTGCATTTCTCCAGCATGCTCGATTTCTTGGATATGTGATACGTCTCGAAAAGAGAATTGAATACATGTTTCATCTCGATTATTTATTGAATGAAAAGCTTTAAAAATTTTATTTTTTAGCCTAAAATATAGAACTTGATATAGTCTACGTTTGTAGTTGATTGCAAAGATTTTAGAACTATTCGTTAGTATGTGAGCCGAATTTTAGTCTTGATGAATAAAATTTTCAAAAAACGTATTAAAACCGAGATTTTTAATAGAATCAACAATATGTAATCAATCAATGTTACGAGTCACACCGTTGTATAAAATGTTTTTTATTTTAATCCAGTAATTCGATCCATGTTGATTAAACTAGATGATAAAAATCAGTTTTACACTCATCTTCACTGATAATAGACATAGAAATTGTTAAATTAATAAATCAATTTTCTCACATATAGGTTTAAGTGCTGTTTTTGAAAATTATTCAAATTTTTCAATCAATTTCTTGTGTAATGCTAATTTTGTTTTTCTTGTCGATTATTCGAATCACTGTTTGGTCACCAGAACATCGATAAAGACACATCATTTGTAATCAAAAGTATATTGAAATTTCAGAGTTATATGGCAGAGAGAGTGAGAAAGATCTGTTCTTTTCTTTAACCAATAATCTGATTTTTTAATATATTTTAAGCATTTTCTTTCAATTAAAATTGTTTTTCGACTTACAACTACTTTTAAAAGGCGTGAATGTGTCTAACAAACTCTAATAACTCCAGCTTCATCTTTGATTCTAGAGAAAAAATGTCATTTTTCTTTGAAATGAACTTGTATTACTTTCATCATCATCCAATGTATGCTAACAAATAAATTCATATTAAGTTGAACTGAACAATTACTACATTGTATCAAAAACAAAAGAAAAACAACGAAAAAACATTCATTTTGTCTGAACATTTTTACTAAATCAAATCAATCATACAGCTCCTAAGTAGTTATTTTACTTCGTGTATAGACTGTATTAAATAATGTTTATGAATCCTATTAAATTTAACATCAAATTTTAATTAGAAATAAACAATATAAGTCTCGATTAAAAAACAATCGAGACTAGCAACACAGAAAAGAAAAAAGAAAACACCAGTTAAGTCTTTTCGAGAATAATACTAAAAATAAAAACATATTATATTTTTCGATACAAAATGATTTATTTTATTATCTTCCATTATCACGTAATGGCTTCCGAGCTTCTAGATTAGACCTAAATAGAAAAATTCTTCATATTATTATATGATAATTGATAATTTTTTACTGGTCAATATTCTTGTTTCTTCTACTAAAATACAAAAATTAAATAAATATGCAATGAAAATATTACTAAAATATAACCTTGGAGGAATTGAACTCGAATTAGATGAATTTCGATGATTTTAATTAGATTTACATTCGGCTTCGAATGACGATAAAACCAATAATAGTAATAGCAAGAATTACAATAATACTCGATACTATTGTACGTATGTATGTATGTATTTAATACCCTTACCAAAAAGTATAGGGTGAAGACAAAAAAGTACAAAAAGAAACTAAAGACAAAATTAAAAAGTTATTCAGTCAAAGGATTGTTCGTTCATCGAAGATGTTCATTGTTCCAACAGTTGTCAGGCTATCACCTTCAAGCTCAAAGAGCTTGATTGGGATGATAGCCGTCATTGATCGCTGAACCATTGGCCACTTCGTTTCTTCAAAAGGTAGAGGCTACTGATATCCACATTCAAACTTTGTTTGTCGGAGATTGCTGGTGAAGAAGTATAGAATGATCATGATTGACTGGGACTGTGAGACTCAAACTTAATTAGATGAGATTCGATTGTTCTTGCACCATTGTTTCGCACAGGATTTGACATGATTCGTTATACCTTGTGGCTTGAATTCTCGTTTGCAATTGGGACAAGTATACATGTTGTTGTTGTTTTTGCTGAGTAGATCGACGACTTTTGCTGGAGGTGGGAGAGATGCTGCTGCTCTTCTTTCTTGAGCTCTCTGTTTCACTTGTTTCACTATGTCGACTATATTTGGTGCTGGAGGTCATACTTGAGTTTTGAGGTTGATCATGGTTCTCCAAGTGTCTCGATCCATCGTTTGTCGTCTCCAATTTCGAATGTTACATTTTTTAAGATCATCGGTGATCATATCTTGCCATCTTTTTCTTGTGCCAGAATGTAGGGGTCGCTTTCAGTTTGGGTAATAAGAGAACATTGTTTTCTTCACGAGAGAGGGAATTCCACCAATATCATTCATTCTGTTGACATGTCCGAACCACCGAAGTCGGTTTCTTCTCATTATATCCACAAGAGAGGGTTGACCAGTGAGCTGAAGTAGTTGATCATTGGACATTCGATCACCAAGGTTTACCCCAATTATCGCTTGAAGACAGCGGTGATAGAATGTGCAGAGTCGTTGTTCAAGTGCTGTTGTCAATGTCCATACTTCGCTACCATAAAGCAACTCTGGGAGGACACATGATCGGAAGATGCGAAGTCGAGCTGTTGTAGAGGGGTGTGAGTGTGGGTGTGGGTGGGTGTGTGTGTGTGGTGTGGGTGTGGGTGTGGGTGAGGGGTATGGGTGGATATGGACGAATGTTTCTTCTTCTAGTGCTCTGACACCTACCCACACCCACATCCACACCCATACCCACACCCACACCCACACCCACACCCACACCCACACCCACACCCACACCCACACCCACACCCACACCCACATCCACACCCACACCCCATAGTTCACAAATTTTGAAAAAAGATCCAGTTGATCCTTGTTGATAAAAATTGTAAAAGACTCTCTGTTTTCACGATTCCCTTTGAGTAATACATGTTTCATCTAGCTTCTCTGTATTCCTTTTCTTCTAATTTTGAAGTTTCAGAATAACACACTCAATTCTAATGCAATTTTCATTTACAAGTAAACAAATAATTCATTATTTATGAGGGTGTGCGTATCGGGTGTGGGTGTGGATATGGGTGTCCATTGAGCGATGAACAAGACCCATATTCGCCCACATCCCTAGCGGTATCCATGCCCGCATCTTTGTTCGAATCTGCTCTACGGCACATTTTGAATTCTTTTCCTAAACAGCAAATTTAAACGTATATTCGAATTTAATGCCATTAAACTATTGATATTCTGAAAACTTGAGGGTGTGGGTGTGGGTGACTACTCACACTCACACCCACACCCCCTATGTACTTTTTTTTATTGAATATGATAGATTACTTTCATTCTTTTCCGTTTTTAATATGACATCGAAGCAGAGAATTTTCTTCTTCGTTAGAAAAAACGATATAGATTGGTTCGAAAAAGACTGTTATCTTGAATATTTACTTATATTGAATGTATATTATTAGAAAGTTTTTTTTTGAAACTGTACTCGATAATTCAAATATATCAAATCAGTATCTCTCATGTTAGACTGAAACCTGAAAATTTTTGTAAGAAAATTAAAAATTGCTGTCAGAAATTTTAGCAGCTCTTACTATTTCTTACTCTAATATGAAAAGTTTTTCAAAAGGGAAAATAACAAATTTTATTGATTTTCGATCGAATTATGTGACTTTATTTACTGTTGTTCTCAGTTTTTCTTACTGAGTAAGAAACTTTTTTAAGATATAAAATTTCATTGAGTTCCATTTGATTATGTGCGAGTGAATGGAAAAAAGGCTGTGGGTGTTGGTGTGTGGATATTTGTCCCCTTCACCCACACCCACACCTCTCTCCGTTTCACTTCGGTGAGAAAGGCACGACTACTTTGTTGTCCTTTTCTTCTTCCGTAGTGTTATTCAACGGAAGAGCATCACGATATGTATACACACGGAATCAATGGCGTGCCCTACTCTTTTCATTGGAGGTATCATCGGCCATCTTGAAGCGCTGCGTATCAAAAACAATCCCGTCATGTGGTCGATTATCTCACACATTCGGTCTGCATATCTTTCTTTCTTCACCTTCTTGTATATCTTCGGATTCGGAAGGGAGTTTTACAGAGAAGCGAAGCTCGCTAGGTGCTTCAAAAACAACGCTTGCCGCTCTGTTGTGGTCTATAGACGTACAGATGAAAAGCCCATAAACATATTTCTTTGTATGTAGGACTTCTGTGGCCTTATCTCTTCTATTCTTGTCTGTTCGGGGATGATAATGAATCGAGTCTGGCTGCACTTGTTATACATACAAACGTGTATGTTTCGCTTTTTATTGCCGGCTTTGTCCACTGTATTGATCAACAGAATACGGGGTATCCCTGATCGTACGTGCACGCGACAAACAATTTGCAGATGGAGAGCAGTGAAAACTGTGAGCCGTTAGAAAGAAAAGAAAAATTGATTTTGAATGAATTATAAAGATTATAATTTTTGTTTTACAAGTTCGATTTTTCCTTTCAGGTCAGCGAAATGCGGATGTGTTACAGGTAGGGAAACTTTCAAGATTTGTTGAGCTTTTTCATAATATTCAAGTGCCTCCGAGTACTGACCAATGCTATAATACACGAAACCGATGTTGTTGTAGGAACCAGCGATGTCGGGATGAGTCGGAGAGAGAGCTATTTTGAGGATTTCGAGTGATGGTTCGTAGGATGCAAGTGCTTTGGAGTACTCGCCCATGCTTCGATACACCGCACCAATATTATTATAGGAAATAGCCAGCAACGGATGATTTGCAGGGAGAGTTATTTTGTAGATTTCAAGTGATCGTTCGTAGGATGTAAGTGCTTTCGAGTACTCGCCCATGCTTCGATACACCGCACCAATATTGTTGTAGGTTGTAGCCAAGCCGGGATGATTTGGAGGGAGAACTATTTTGTAGATTTCAAGTGATCGTTCATAGGATGCAAGTGCTTTCGAGTACTCGGCCATGTGATCATACACTAAACCGATGTTGTTGTAGGAAATAGCCAACAATGCATGATTCGCAGGAAGAGCTATTTTATTGATTTCAAGTGATCGTTCGTAGAATGCAAGTGATTTCGAGTACTCGCCTACGTTATCATACACCATACCGATGTTGTTGTAGTCAATAGCCAAGTCGGGATGATTGGGAGGGAGAGCTACTTTGTGGATTTCAAGTGATTGTGCGTAGGATGCTAGTGCCTTGGAGTACTCGCCCATGTCACCATACACCGCACCGATATTGTTATAGGAAGTAGCCAACAACGGATGATTCGCAGGAAGAGCTATTTTATTGATTTCAAGTGATTGTTCGTAGAATGCAAGTGGTTTCGAGTACTCGCCCATGTTTCGATGCACCGCACCAATATTGTTGTAGGAAGTAGCCAACAACGGATGATTCGCAGGAAGAGCTATTTTATTGATTTCAAGTGATCGTTCGTAGAATGCAAGTGCTTTCGAATACTCGCCCATGTTATCATACACCGCACCGATGTTGTTGTGTAGAGTGGATCTTATCGCATCATTAGGTGCTTGTTCGATCAACAGTGTATACACTTGTTCAGCTTTTTCGTTCTCACCCATTTTGTATAAAAGTAAACCCATTCGTTCCCACCCTGTTCCGGTAATCTCTTTTCGCATTAGTTGAGTAAGAACATTGAGGTTCTTGTCGTCACCGGGACTTGTAAGTGTTAATTCCACTTGGTAAATTTTGTTTCCGCCTTCGTTGATTTCTTGAATGTGTTGGACACGGAAGACTGTGTTCATCGAAAAGAGAATCTCTTCTTCATCGGGAAAGAAACTTATCCCCTTGATAGATGCAAATACTGCCGATGAGGACGTTGATGATGAGTTGATTGTCATTTTGAAGAGAACTCCTATCTTGTCTGTGTTGAAACTAATGAAACGAATTGCAACTTGACGGTCGTTACTAGTGGATAAGAAATTATTGAAGGAAATGAGCCCATTTTGTTTGATTTTGTTTTGGAATTCATCGTTCTTCATTGTTTTACCACGATAAACTGTAATTGTAGTGTTCTTAATCGTTTGTATGCTATATAACTGTTCTATATTGTTGTGTAAATCAGTGATAAAAGCGCCCATTTTGAGCAATGTTTCTATTTGTAAAGTGCCCAAAGCTTTGTTCAACATGTTATAGGTGAAACACTCGCGTGTGTACCACCAAATGGGCTTGTTATCATTGTTCGTATTACCTTGGTAGTCTCGAGCAAATTCATCGATTATCTCTAATTGTTCATCATTACCGGCATATTTTGGTCGAACATACTCGGCCAGATTTTTGATTTCTTTCTCATTGTTGAATTCGATTTTAAATAAGATTTCTTTAAATAGTTTTGCGTACATAAATGATGGTTCGATTTGGTCCACTGATGATGATGTGCCACTTATTGTAACGGAATCTTCATCACATTGTCGGGCAGATTGTCGAATCGAATCACAAAGTACAGCAATGTTTGTATAAATGCCTTTTACTTTTGACCAGTTCTTTGTCCATTCTTCATATTTTTCTGTCTTTCGACAAAATACGTATATGGAAAAGATTTGATCCATCGGATGCACACGTGGTACAACTGTTTCGCATAATGCACCGGAAACAATAAGAAATGCCTTTTCATTTTGGAACTGCGATAAGTACTTGATGCATTCGTCTGTATCTTGGAATGATTCAATTGTGTTAACAGTGCGCTGTAAGTTTTTGATTGAATTGCTATAATCTTGACTTGATCGATCAATATTACCATCAAGCCAAGCCAAAAAGAAATTTTGAATGATGTCGGTAATATTTGTTCGAGTACGACGCTCATTTTCATTCTTGGATGATGATGATGATGTCACGATTCTAGTTGTAGGAATTGCTGATGATGCACCACATCCCATTTGTATTGACTTTATTCCTTGTAAAATGAATGGATGCTAGTTAAAGCAAAAAAGAATTCGATATTTATATGAAGAATACGTTGGCAAAATTTTTTTCTTTTTCAACATTGCCTGGTAACTTTCAATGAACAGAACAGTCCGTTATTCGACATTGCATTGTTTATATAGCTGCAAATCTTTTCTTTTCCTCATGTTTCAATGTACAAAGAATCTGGAGACATACAAATGGATAGACATGTACCAAACTCGAGCACAACTTCCAGCTTCGATACCGAGTTTACCAAGATTGAGGTTGATTTGAACTCGAACATTTAAACTCGAGGTCGATCGAGCTGAATCTCAAAACTTCGAGTTCGCATCGAGCTCAAACTCTTAATACTCGAGCTCAACTCGAGTTTTACTTCGATAGATCGAGTTCGATCGAACTCATGGATGAATGAAAATAGAGCCAGCTTTCCACGAATAAATTATGATGACTAAGTGTTCAATACGCAGCCATAAATCAAATTAGGAATGTAACGGTGATGGTCGTTCACCTGCATATTGTAGCACGGTTTTCGGCCCACTACGGTAACCGTAGGTGTGGCTGCAGTCTCCTCAGCAAATTGAGCCTAAGTTAAACATTAACGGAGTGCGGAAACAAATTTCGAGAAATAGTTGCCTATAGGTAATTCGAGGTGGGTGGTTCAAATTTGAGTTCCGTTTTCTCGAAACCCTATTAGTCGGTTGGTAGCCAATAGAAATCAATATTTTCGAAAAAAGTTCCTCAAGGGTAATTCCATCTGGGGACTTCGAATCTGAGGTCTATTTTTGTGGAAACCTTATTGATGGGTAGAGCCTGTCTCGTTGAATCCGGACCCGAACCCGATCGGGTGCAGGTCCGGTTCCGAGTCTAGTGAAAATTTGTTTCGCCGGGTCTCGGTATTGACGACTTTTAATAAAGTGGGTCCGGGTTCGGGTCCGAGTCCCAAACCTCGGACCAGACGGGCTCTATTGGTGGGTCGCGAACCAATAGACATCGAGACGTTTGACAACAAGTAGCAGAGATTCGACGTCCCCNAACCCCCACTCACACCACCTAGTCTCGACCAGGTTTTGAAGATTCCATTTTGACAGGGTCCGAGTCCCAAATTTTTTGTATATGAATGAGCATTGAAAAAAGTTTTTTTAATCGTTAATTTTTACAAAAATGATAGAATAAATTCAAATTTTCAGCATCCAAACAACTGTATTTTCCTAATTAGAATGGTTCGTCAAAAGTATCAATGCAAGCTGGGAGAGGGAACAAATTTGATTCCTAAAAGTAAAATCCATTGAATCAGAAACTGGGTTTTAAAACTATTAAAGATCGGGTCTAGTGTTATGACCGAAGTGTTCCCCTTCGATCATAAGACGGAACGAAACGAATAATAACACTCCTTTCTAGTACAATGGTAATACAGTGTTACAGTGTATTCTCATAACATATACCTCAATCCTCTCTATTCTCTTCTCTTTGATATTTTCGTTTCTGTCTTTTCGCTTCTTTAACTTCTTTTCTTTGTCCTTGATTAACCTTTGTCTTCTTTTCTATTTTGTCCATGTTTTTCATGTGCGTATATAAACTCTTGTTTTGTACAAGAATAAACAGAGAGAATAAATCACACACATACACGTTAACTGTGTTCATCGCTCTTCGTGAACGCGAACGCTAACACTTCTTTTAAATGAACTTGTATTACTTTCATCATCATCCAATGTATGCCAACAAAGAAATTCATATTAATTTGAACTGAACAGTTACTACATTGTAGCCAAAACAAAAGAAAAACAACGAAAAAATATTTATTTTGTCTGAACATTTTTACTAACTCAAATTAATGATACAGCTACTAAGTAATTATTTTACTTCGTGTATAGACTGTAGATTAGATGCGTTCGAACAGTATTTCCGGAAACTGCTTTAAATACTAGCATATGAGATATAGGAGGTACAGAGATGCAGAAGACATAGTAAACCGTGATTTATTTTTTATGATTCATTTTTTTCGAGCGAGGGTCGGCAAGTGGAATCCATATCTCTGAATAAATCGCTATCCAAAGCCAAATACTATAGAAAGATTATCTGCACTAGTTAATGAATATCTCCTATATCTTCTTCCTCGATGTTTAATTGAGTTTCCGTGAAAACTCTCACAATGCATCACAAGAGATGTAACGGAAGTTAGCAGCTGATTCGAGTATTTTTTGAAACGATTCGCCTCATTTAGTGAACCAACTCAGGAATGCTGTGAGCCAGATGCAGCTTGGAGAGCTCTATCAAATGGTATAATCGGATTTTCAGTGAAAACTACTCAATTCAAATGAAAGCAAAAACACTAATTTTTTCCCATAGGAAAAAAGCATTGAAAAAAGCTTTTCTCTGACAATTCGCCCCACTTTGTGAACCACTCGTGAGATATAGCACATTCGATGCCGCTCGATGAGCTCTATCGAATGGTATATTTTTCGTTCCATTCAAAGCACAGAATCGCAGGTTAGGATTCCATGAGTACCCCCAAATCGGGGTTTTGCAGTTTCTTGTCTGACAATTCTCTCCATTAGTCGAACCACTCATGAAAATTAACTTACTCGATGCAGATCATCAAACTGCGTCGAATGAGGTCAGTCTTTTGAGTGGTTCAACTAATGGAGCGAATCATCAGTCAAGAAATTGTCCAAAATCCCGATCTTGGAGTACTCTTGAGATCCTAGCTAACGATAGTTTGTTTTTAATTAAACAAAGCATATACCAATCGATAGAGCTTTTTAAACCGCATCGAATGAACTAAGTTTTGTGAGTGGCTCAACTAATGGAGAGAATTGTCAGGCAAGAAACTGCAAAACCCCGATTTGGGGGTACTCATGGAATCCTAACCTGCTATGCTTTGTATTGAATGGAACGAAGCATATACCAATTGATAGAGGTCATCGAGCAGCATTGAATGAGCTATATTTCATGAGTGGCTCACAAAGTGGGGCGAGTCATCGGGAAAAAACTTTTTTATGTCTTTTTTCTGTGAGGAAAAATTAGTGTTTTTGCTTCCATTTGAATTGAGTAGTTTTCATTGAAAATCCGATTACACCATTTGATAGAGTTCTTCAAGCTGCATCTGGCTCACAGCATTCCTGGGTTGGCTCACTAAATGGGGCGAATCGTTTTGAAAAATACTTGAATCGGCTCCTAACTTCCTTGCAGTCATATGAGATTGTATTAAATAATATTTATAAATCCTGTTAAATTTAGCATCAAATTTTAATTAGAAATAAATAATACAAGTCTCGATTAAAGAACAATCGAGACTAGCAATACAGAAAGAAAAAGAAAACAGCAGTTAAGTCTTTTCTAGAAGAATACTAAAAATAAAAACATATTACATTTTTCGATACAAAATGATTTGATTTATTGTTTTCCGTCATCACGTAATGGAGTCTCAGCTCCTTGATTACACCTAAATAGAAAAATTCTTCATATTATTATATGATAATTGATAATTTTTTACTGGTCAGTATGATTGTTTCGTCTACTAAAATACAAAAATAAATAAATATGAAATGAAAATATTACTAAAATGTAACCTTGGAGGAATTGAACGCGAACTAGATGAATTTCGATGATTTTGATTAGATTTAAATCGGCTTCGAATGGCGATAATAGCAAAAATAGTAATAGCAAGAATGATAATAATACTCGATACTGTTCCAATAATAACCCATTTACTTGGATATCGACTATTAGATCGTTTATCAGATAAAATCGAACGAGGATCTAGAATTAAATGTATATCAAATGAATATTATTGATCTTTTCTTTTATCTGATAAAAATGACTACTACAGATACTACAACTAGAAAACTCAATTCTTCTATACGAAAATGAAAAGATGCACTTGATCTATAAGCCAAATCTCTGTCTGCAAGAAAGAATATATTAATACCATCAAATAAATTAATCATAATACTAACTTACCTATACGTGATTGACTAGTTTTCTTTGAAATCGTTTGTTCACCGACACCAGCTTCATTGAATAGACGAACTTTAATCAAATAATTTGTATCTGATTGAAGTTCTTTCAATTCAAATTCACTGATCAATGGTTCAATTTGAATTGCAGGACTCCATTGCTTTACTTCATTTACACCGCGAACCTAAAAGCACAATAAATAAAGAATAATAATTTTATTAAATACATTCACATGATCTTTGAAAGATGAGAAGAAAAAAACAAGTGATGACTTTGATACAAATACTGAATTTAGGATACTCGAAAAGTATCCTACTATCGGCATCGCATTGGTACGTAATTGGGTATTCTGTTGAAAAATGTCTTACTAAACGGATATTTGAAAGCATCCGTCAATTGTTTGTTCAAGTACTTGTAAATATCTGACGTTTACTATTGAAGATGTTTCTTTTAGGCTAGATAATCGAGCAATCAGAAACATCGTATTTTCTAAGACACAAGTACATATTGAGTGTTCAAAAGCATCCCAGTAAGAAAAAGTACTAGTAGCATACTAGTAATAGGATACTCCTTCAAGTATCTTAAACTCAGTACTTTTACTACGAATATTAGAATTAGATTACTTCGAAATTGAATATAATCAGTTCAGGTAATAATTTGCATCATGTGATTCTCTATTTGTTTTACGACACAAATATCAAGGTTACTGTATATAAGATACAAATGGAACCAATCATTTTTAGTAGCGATTTCAATGAGAAACATTGTTGTTTGATACTGTTCCTAATTTCAGCTCTGATGTGACTAGGATTAGTTTATTTACCCATGTATACTACAGAGTTGAATAAACCTACTTTAGCATAAGATATTTCAGTTCGTGAAATAGGTGAACCACCATCAGATTCAATAATCCATTTAATTAAACAAGATTGATCATCAAGACATGATATATCTGATGAAAGAATTTTAAATTGTGGAACTTGTCGATCGAGTGTTTTCAATTGATAAGGTATAGAAGGAGAACCTTCACCAGCACGAGATTTTGCCATTATTTGCATTCGATATAAAGTTGATGGTTGAAGAGATTCAATAAGAAGAGATTGTGGTTCATTCGATGTAACTAGAATTTATCAACAATAAATATTAATATTAGAATTTTTTTTCTCGTTTTTATACCAGGAAAAGTGAATGTTTTGAGTGAATGAGGAACACCAATTTGCTCATAATTAACCAAATATTCAAGTAAAGGTAAACCACCTATTTCTAATGGTGGTTGAATATTTAATTGAATTGAATTTGATCTTGGTTTAACTTCAACTACACGAACTTGTTGCGGAGGTTCAGCACGTCGAAGATTCATTGAATATCTTCCTATTCGAGGATTAATAGCACGACATTCGAAAATTAAACCAAAGTCTTGTTCCAATGGATTATACTACACCAAAATTAATAGATAAAGAAAAATTAATTTAAAAATAAAGAAATTTACAGTTAATTGTGTTTCATAAAGTGTTGGACCAATTTGTCTAGTTAATATATCGATTACTTGTGGATCATTATCTTGTACAAGTATGTGGCCACTATCAAGATCTTTTATTCTTCGAGGCATTCTTACCCATTGAATTGTTGGAGGAGGATAACTATCAAATTGACATTTCATAATGGCTAAAAAGGAAAAATAAAACAAGTAGAATTTATCTATTACAAATTGATATGTCTTACCGCGATAGTTAGGAACACTGAATATAACTGATTTCTCTGGCCCCATAAAAACAGGTTTATCTTAAATTAATAATACATAAATAAATAGAAAAGAATTATTCGAATATTTTTAATTACATTCAACAAAAAGATTAGCAACAGTTGATGTAATATCTGCTAGATTTTTTGCTAAACATGTATAATTTCCATGATGTTCTCGGCGTACAGGATCAAAACGTAATTCAACAAAACGATTCAATGCTAATTGACTAACATCAACCGATATACNGGACCTGTGTACCACCAAATGGGTGTATGGTTACGATATTCTCGTTCGATCATTTCAATTGTTTTTGGGGAAGCATCATCTTGAAGGCGACAGTACTCAGCAAGTTCTTTAATCGATTTCGCATCGTCATCCTCTATATCCAAAAGTGCTTCTTTTAAGAATTGTGTATACATAAATAATGGATCAATATGATTAAAACTGATCGAGATCATATCTTGATCACAATTTCTTCGATCGATTTGTAATGCCTTACAAATCGAATTGATCTCTGTATGAACACCCTTTACCTTCGACATCGTTTTGGCCCATTGTTCATGCACAGATCGATTCCTACAATATATATAAATGGAATCGACTTGTGGCAATGCATCGATTTTCGGTACAATATGTTGTCCGAGTGAGCCAGAAATAATTAAAAATACTTTTTCATCATTAACTTCCATGATGAATTGGATGCATTCGTCAGCATCGGTAAATGTCATAACTGTGACGACAGTTTGCCGTAATTGTGCCAATGCATTTTTAAACTCTTTCTTCGATTCATCAATATTGGCATCGAGCCAGACGAGAAGAAAGTTCTGAACCATTCGACTAGCACGACGACGTGACACAGTAGCAGTTGACGTAGTGGTGCTACCTGTGGGTTCAATCGCAGCAGCTGTTTTTGATTTTTGATTACCCATAATGGATAATGAATGAATGAATAAATGCATAAATGAGTGCCAAAGGCCCGTTTTTACCCTCCCTTTTATTAATGTGCTACTGATTTTATTCTTTTGTTGACATTTGCTTTTTGTTTGGCTGGTTACTATCGATTTAAAGACTTTTTATTTTGATCGTTCGTTTTTTTTGCTTCAAAAGTGTTGCTGGCGAAAAGTAATAGTTAAAATATGTGAACGGTACATCAAGCATGAGGCAAGGAAGAACAAGAACGAAAAATATAAAAAAAAATTACATTATCGTCATTCATAATAGAAAAGAGAAAAAACACGAAAAACTTAAAAATTGGACTAAAAACTGTTGTTGTTTGCTCTTTCTTTTTTTCTTTTTGGTTGCCTCGAGCTTCATCGCACAAGCAACAGTAACGAATGGCAACGTATTATTAGTTGATGATGACTTCTACTGTTGCTAACATGCTCTTGTTGATGAATGTTTGCATATTCATTATTGAATTGAGTGAATAAGTTTTGTCAAATCAAAAGAAATAAGAAAAAACAAGAAACTAACATTTTCTGCTATTTTGTTCAGTCTATCTGCATCTAAACAACTAATTTCACTGTGTTTTGATATATTATACGATCTATTTTAGTCATCCAGTGTCTGTGCGGTGGAATTAAGGAAAATTTACAGCTTACATCCGCGCTCTAATACAAGAGAAGATTTTTTAGTTGTTAGATTGACATTGGCTTCTTTTGTTTTATTGAGTTGGTTGTTTTGCTCAAGTCATTGTTTTCTTTTGAAGTTTGCATCATCATCTCAAAAAAATTAGGGAAGAAGAAAAATAAACATCTAATAAAATGAATCAATATTGTTTGAATTGTTGCCAAGATTTTTTCCAACATAGGTAGGAAGAATGAGTATCGAAATAATGTCACGTTCAGATATGAGCGTAAGTTTGTTTGAGTCTATTTATTTTCATAATCATAACTCCATATTCTACAAATATGATTCAAACAGATTTTTACTAATAGCAAATGTATTTTATTTTTATGCGAAAAAAAATTCCAAAAAAACTTGATTTGTTTCTCATTATATTTTTTCGTGTTATTTTTATATACATAGCTATATGCCTGTAATACATACAACAATTGCAAGTAAAATTCAAAATATGCACAGGGACACTAGATTTACACGAGTAAAATATAAACATACATTTATATAAATATTGTTATTCTTATATGCCTTCTCTTGTTCAATTAGTGTCTGATTGTTTGGATTCTAATTTAACGTACAACACTTTAAATAAAATATATGGTCATTTTTACATTTCTTCTTTTTCGTCTTAACATATCTATTATCGATAAAAAAAACAAATCAATGATGAATTTATATTGATTGACTTATAATATTTTATTAGAAGTAAGTTAATATTTCTTCCATGTATTTAATAAACAAAATATTCATATGACCACGAAACATACCTCAAGATAAAGTTTCTGTGCTTTAGATATTGGCGAAAGCTTCGAACTAATGCATTAATTTTCATTCGTGACTATGACAAATATGTAATGTGCATACTCTGAATTTCGTATTCCGAAATAGGTTATTTGCCAATGTTTCAAAATTTGTTGCTAGTTTTCTCTTAAAAGATGTAAGTATAATAATAGTTTGGATTTTACATCATTCGTACACATTAAGAGATCTTATGTTCGTTCTTGAAATTTTGATCATAAATGACTCTCGCTAAAATTTGTCTCAACGGTAAAACGTCAAGACAAAATCAAAAATCAAATATTCTGTTATTAGAACTTTCCTCATTGGTAAAATAACCATAAAGTTCAGTAGATATTCAATAGCTCAAATTAAAAAAAATTCATAAGGTGAACTATGGATGATTGAAGAAGAAGAAGAAGAAATTACAGCCATAGGCACACCCAAACCCAAAATACACAGGTGTAAATCAATTCTAGAAAAATTAAAGACAAGTATATATATTAGTTTTATATTTTTGAAAGCATGAAATTACAATGAATTTTCAATTAATTTTAAACATTAAATCTTTTTCTTTAGTGAAAGTTCTATTCAGATTGGCGTACTTGTTCAGAAGTAAATAATAATGAACACTTTTGTACATATTTGGCCACAATC